AACAATGGAGGTATGTTATCAGTTTTGTTAGGTAAAACAAACGATTTATATACATAATTGTGTGTGGTAAGGTTGAAAAGTGTGAAACCGTAATGGTCAAATTTAATAGCTCCTAAATTTTCAACCAAATTACATTTGACACATGGATACTATAACTAAAAAAATCATATTTCAATTCCTAGTTCTTGAATGACACAATAATATGTGTCTTTGGCTACAATTGCGTGATTTGTACAAGAGTATTTTGTCAGCATGGTTATTAGTTTCATTCAGTTATTTTGTAGTGTGCTCTCTTTCTAGTCTGGTTTTGGGTATATAATGTATACTTATTAATGTCATAGATTAGATACGATGACACTCATTTTGTGAACCATACCCAAACACCCACATTACACTTGTTAGCTAACCGTTTTTTCAGTTCTCCTATTATTTGTTGATAATGACATTTTCCATGTGCTTATCTACTTATAAAGAAAAATATTTCATGTGGTGTAAGATTGTAAGTGTGTAGGTGAAATTCATTTTGATTAGGAGTTGCCAAGTTCAGTGCAAATGTGCCAAAGCCTTGAAGCCTAAAATATTTAATTATGGAGACCCCTTTTGGACAGTTTAAACAAAATTCATTCACATCCTCTAAAGCATACCCCCTAACAATATTGTCTTATGGTCCATCTCAATTCCTTACATACCCTTTTAAGAACCCCATATACCTTTCAAATAGGTACATGTATCGAGGAAACAATGGATCGTAATACTATATTTCTTTTACAATATGGAATGTGAGGTAAACCATGATATAAAATAAATAAGGTAGAAAGTACATTGCTTCGAGTTGATAGAGAGTTGTGATAACATCATATTGCCATCAGGCTAAATCTTAAGGATTAAATACTTTCTGATGAATCATGTTGGAAAACAAGCAATGCTTTATGATTGTTTGTTGGATAAGGTTCGACACTATTCCACTAAGTGCAATAGGAATCATATGTACTAAGTAGCACATGAAAATTATGTGACTTCAATTCATACCACGAAATTTCAAGTCATTCATTGACACCAAACTTCTTCTTGATGTTAGCATATAACCACGTGTCACTTTAATACCATGCAAGTATTTACAAAACATTGTTTTCTTGTCTTTAAACAGTATATAAAAAGTTGGTGGTAGATATGTTTGTGTTCCTTCACTCTCATTCGGAACATCATCTTCAATATCATGTAACATTTCATCTATGTTATCACGAGTGTCATCATTTGAGTCATCCATATCATGACCATGATCCGATATAAACTATGATCCTCACAACTTTAAAAAAAGTTTCGAGGTATCCTATGTACCCACCACTAGCCTGTTATAATCCAAACATCCAAGTTTCACGATCCATCTTTGTAAGCAAAATATACCTTATTTGATTCCACATATTATATCAAAACAAACAACGTCCTCAATATGGTTTGAGTTTTATCAAGAATGATCCTATCATACTGTAACACCCATAAAATCATGCCAAATTAAAACTTTTTAAATCATTCAAAAATCAATAATTATTACAAATTTGTTTTCGAAATGTTTCCGTGTCAGAGTATCCCAAAATCAAATCATAAAAAATATAAGGAGGTGCACGATCATGCCTTCACCTTCCCACGGTCATTAAAAGTACATAAAACATAATCAACAACTGTAAGCTCGAAGCGTAGTGAGTTCCCCCAAAATACTAATGATATACAAACCATAATTGTATCATATAAACAAACAACATGCATAATGAGTCATCAGTCTGAATAGACCGCCTCTCAAGATCATTAGTCTATCTGGACAGCTCTCCAAGCTATCGGCACGTCTGGACCACCTCTCAGGGCCTTCAGCCTATCCGGACTGCTCGTCGGGCCTTTGTCTTGACTAGTATGCCCTACTGGGCCTGCAGTCTATCCGGTCTACCCTATGTATGTGGGCCTTCAGCACAAAGCAGGTCCGCCTCAACCCAACCCCCAAATTAAACAATTATGTACACTTAATTATCATACGCTAACATATATAATAGTCAAACTGATCTAATAGGCCACTAACATAACATCATCCTGTATACCAGGATACCGACCTAACAGGTCACTAACATAGCATTATCTTGTATACCAGGATACTGACCTAATAGGTCACTAACATAGCATCATCCTATATACCAGGATACCGACCTAACATGTCACTAGCATATCAACATGTAATAAACCCAGATACAAATCCGAAAAGGGTCGGCATTGGTGCCTTAGACCCTGTTAGTATAGTGAGGACAACTCACCTCACAAGTAGCTCGGGATGATAAATGTCAAACTCCACAAATACAGGTCCAACTCAATCACCTACATCCACCGATGATCCATTTTCGTAAATTCCCAAATTACTAAAATACCCCCAGAAGTCAAACTGGTCAACCCTTGGTCAAAGTCAAAGTCAATAGTCAAGGTCAACAGGCCATGTTGACTTAACTTGTTGAGTGTAGCCCAATGACTCGTTGAGTTCTTCCAGAACTCAAGAAATCATTAAAACCCTAGTTATCTTGTTGGGTTTCCAAACAACTCGTTGAGTCCATGCGGTGTCCAAATGTTGGGAAAACCCTAACTAACTCGTTGAGTCATCTCACTGACTCGTCGAGTCCATACATAACCAATACATGCAATCTTCATCCGACTCGTCGAGTTGACCATGAAACTCATCGAGTCCCTTCAGTCTATTTCTCATTCAGACGTTTTTAAGTTATCGCAAAGCTCCAAATTGTAGATCTAGCTTCCTAAGGCATAGTTACCACGTAAAGTTGCAAACTTTATGTGCATGCAAGGTCTTAAAGGTCAAAACGAAGCTAAAAAAGAAATTTTAGGTAAGGAGAAGGCCATAACTTGCTAAAGATTTGGACTTTATGACTATAAGGGGCTAGAGGAGTCCAGATCTGAAGTTACAACTTCAGATCATGCCCAAAACCGGAAATAACTCCACAACAAACTAGAAATAACCATAAACCTTTGCATGAAGAGATCTAGCTAGAAAGAAGCGAAGGTAACGACTTGTTACCTTCAAGATGATGCTAAGATGAAGTAGAAATCAGATTCACAAGCTTCTCCTTGCTCCAAGCTCCTTAAACTTCAAGTTTTCTTCACAAAATCCACCTTCCAAGCTTCTTAACACACAAAAATTAAGAGTAGACACGATTAGGGTTTTCTGAGTTCAAGGGGGGCAGTAAGGGAGGCACAAGGAGGCTAATGACCCTTTAAATAGGGTGTAAAACCCTGAAAATTAGGGTTTCATTTTCCAGCTCCTACTCATCGAGTTGGGGTCCTCAAACTCGTTGAGTAGACCTCCTAAGTCACGCGGTCTAATTCGCTTCTACACGACAAGTAGGGGCATCCAACTCGCCGAGTAGGTCTAAGAATGTGAATATAAGCTTTAATTTTTAGACTTGGGAGTCGGGGTGTTAAACATACAAAATAAAGTTATTATCAAAATTCTTAAATTAAAATGTTGTCTCAAATAATTAGTTTATTCACATGTATAATAGATCTTAAATGTGATATAAATTTCATATCTCAATAGAAAATTTAATTAGGGTAAAATTTTATAACTTCTAAACTTAATAATCAAATTATAAATGGATATTAAATATAAAACTCTAGAATAATTTAAATATATTTATTCATTGATTTTGCAAATGTATGACATATTATATGGGCTTATGCTCGACTGCTTTGATACTAACTCTTGGGGGAAGACATCATAAGGGGATAAAGAGAAGAGAAATTGGTAATGGAATCCAAGAAAGGTATTGTAAGATAAGGTTACCTTAAAATGGCTTTTACATATGTTATCAATCAAGTAAGGAACTTACATATGCTATAAAATGACTAATTGGAATGTAATTAATCAAGTAATCAATCACATAAGGAACTTACATATGTTATAAAATGGCTTTAACATATATGATATAAAGATTACCATGCATGTATCTATCAGATGCAAATCATATCCTTGTAGACCTCACAAGCCTCTCCGGTTGACATTTTGTCTATGATCAAATCAATTGGTTATTATTATGAGAAGTTCACTTAATAGTTAAATTGATTCGGACATCAAATAATTTGAAACGTCAATAAGTGCTCTAACCTTTTAGGAGATTTGTGAAGTCTGTTTTCGGGTATCATTGAAGAAGTATGCTTGATTAACTTTTCAGATCGTATCTTAGACCACAACTAAGAGCTTAATTCTGCTTGAAAGTGGTTAACGGTTCAATCTTAATTCTGCTTGAAAATCTAACCGATTCATTCTAAAAAAAAAAAAGACAATAAGGGCATTCACGATGATTTACTACTTTGAGGTTTAGTGCTTACAAATTATGATGGAAAATGACCAAAATTAACACACGCGCGTTACCATACTTTTGATGAGAAAATTTGAAGAAGATCAACAGATCAATAAGAAACTTTAATCATGATAAAGATAACATGGTTTGGGATGACATTGTAACATATAAGTTGCAATCACCTCCTATTAGAAAACGATTTAACCATAACCAATTCGAGATTTACCTTTAACAAAAAAAAAAAAACGACATCAACTCAATATTTTTCCTTGCTACTCCTTACTAATTCGATATTCCTTAGAAATTTAAGAATAGAGATCTTTAATTTTATCATACCATTAGGAAATGATTTAGTTATATATTTGCTCCCATGTTTATTTCTGATGGCCTATTCGCTAAAAAATATCGGACAGATTGTGTTATTATCTAGTGGGTTACTATATATTATTATGAAAAAATAAAAAAATCAACAACTGTAGTGATTGAAAATTAAAATCATAAACTTTCCAACTGACATTGCGAATACTGTCAAAATAAAACGTAGAAATTCATAAAGAAACATTAAAATTCAAATACACCAACAAAAAAAAACGCTTGCTTGAACTTAGAAACACATAACAAGACACCACCAGATAACAGAGAACTAGAATTTAATTAATCTTCAAGGAAAAGCTTGTAAGCAATCTTGTATGACGCATACGCGTCAATACATGCATACTCCACTTGCTTTTCATCAAGAACCCTTGCATCCCACTCGCTCCTGCACACATGCAATGGCTTCTCCATGTAGAGTCCTGCTACGTCCCTTGCAATATGCTTCAAACCTGGCTTCCTACTATACATGTAAGGCCACCTCTTTATTGTCTCAGATCGAACATCTGCACTTCTAGAACAATCCAATCCATACTCATTCTTAAGCTTTAAAATATCCTCATCTACCTCAACTCCCACAAAAGTAAACCTAGGGTTCAGAAGGAACCACTTCAGGGACATTGGAATCTCATCAACGTAGAAGAGTTGGATGATTAGGCACTTTTTATCGATGCATAGTTGAAGAGTAGCAGATTTGTTGCTCATTGACGGGTTATGGTGAGGCCTCCATTCAACGTCCAACCCTACCACCATCTTTGGGTTGCGTGCATAGATGATGACGATATCATCCACCCATGCCTTTATGATGGCAGCTTTGTTCGTCACCGTGGTCTCTATTGTTTTGCCATCGTAGTTAACATGATATTTTGACGATGATGAATCGCGGATTATGGTTTGGATGCTGCGAACATCCATGGCCACCGGTTTGATTGAAAACAAGAAAGAGAAGTAGATTTGGAAGTTTCAAAGTGATAAGCAAAGCCATAAGGGCAGATGTTTATTTATATTCAACTTGCAACTCAAAAGGCGTTGGGGACTTGGTCACTTGGATATTTTCAATCAATAAACCTTTCGGATTTTGGTAATTCGGTTTTGCTACAACTAAGCCTTGAAGTAGTGAATGGTCATTAGTAAAATTTAATGTGTCATCAAGCCACAGCTACTATCAATTTCCTATGCGAGTAATTACTTAATATCGAATATCAAATTCAAATTTGTTACTTGAGCAAATATTTATATTGGTTTTGTCCGTTTATTTATCTTACGTTGTTCGGTTAGAAAATTATTGTACGGTCTTCTTTTTTTAGGCACTTTATCAGTGGTTCTATAAGCATCTCCGATGCTAACCTCATTTTGGGGTACTCTATAACAGTACGATGTAATCCCTTGTTATGTCACATATAAGCGACATATAATTAAACATTTATATTTTGTGAACTTATACCCATTATCTGTAAACCTCAATAAAGTTAAATATCAAATATATCGACCCACGTTTTATTTATCTTTAACCTGTACATACTTTATATTTTAAATGAAACAACAAAAAAATAAAGCTGTTTTATTGCTCAGAAGAAAGATGAAATTATTATTTTTATATTTATTTACTTTGGGATGGATCCCATGCATAGTGGATGGTCTAATGTTTAATGCTTTAGCACAATCTTTTGGATTTAATGAAATACAACTACCATTGCAAACAAAATTTATCATAAAATCTAAAATTCTCAGTATCAGACGACGAGGTGTACACCTGTATTTTCTGCTTCATTTTGTTCTTATATTCCAGTCATCTAGGAAACACACCACAAGAAATACGTTTATTAGCGGCTTTAGCGGCAACATCTAACTTTCGCGTTAGATGTCTCCTCTAAAGGTGATCGTCGCCGTTAAAGCTAAAAAACCATGATCCGCGTCAAAGGCATTTGTTTAACCCCTATCCGTTGATCTTGGACTAATCCAACCACTGGAAATGAGTATCGCACATACTAGCGGCAACATTAATGGCGGCGACAGCTGTCACCGCTAATCCTCAAAAGAAAAGGCAGTATAAGTTCCCTCCGGAAGTGGTCGCCGCTAAAACTCTATCGTCGCCACTAATAGTTATCGCTGCTAATGCTCTGCACAAATATACCCCTTTTACTCCCCGCTTTCCTTTATTATGTCAATCTATTTTCCTCTCATGCTTTCCAACGAAAGTGCAACCATCACCCATGACATTCTAATTTCGCTCTTCTATCACCGACGATGACAAGGTAGCCATCACCGATAACATAAGTTGCATCATCGGTGACGCCTTCTTCATTCCGGCAGTGGCGACGACTCGGTGATTCTCCTCCTCTTTTTTCTATTTCTCTTCTCTCTAGTGACCATGTAACACCTGTTCCGATTTTTTTTTTTTTTTTATATATTTTTAAGGGTTTTGTGCATTGACTCGGCGAGTGGCTGTGCTCCAACTCATCGAGTAGAGATTTTTAGTGGACATGAGGTTTGGGTCCTACTCGACGAGTAGGAGTTGTGAAGAGAAACCCTAATTTTTAGGGTTCGCACCCTATTTAAAGAACTTATTGCGCCTCTTGTGGCCTCCCTTATCACCCTAACATCCAGAAAAAAACCCCTAGACTGATCTTGAACCTTCTTGAGTGGGAGAAAGTGCCTTTGTGAGTGATTTTGGGGCATTTGTGAAGGATTCTAGAGCTTGGAGAGGAAGGAGCAAGGAGAGGAGTAGTAGATCCAGCATCTACTCTGTCTTGACCATCATTTTGAGGTATAAAGTCGTCACCTTGATCTCTGGTTGATTAGATACCTTTTCTTGGTAGTAAATGGCCATTCTTGGTGCAAAATGGAGTCAAGCTTGGATCTGGACTTATCACAAGAATATGGTTCCAGATCTGGACCTCTCAAGGTCCCCAATGGCATAAAGTTGCTCACTTTATGCAGCCTAGCCTTTTTCATACACAAAAACCTTGTAAGAAGCCTAGTTTTGGGGTTATGGCCTTGTAGGGTCTTGCATGCACGTAAAGTTTGCAACTTTACGTGGTATCTACACTAAGGGAGTTTGGATCTGGAGTTTGGGACCATAGATCCCACTAAAAAGGGATGAACTTACTAAGGATTGAAGGAACTCGTCGAGTCCCTTAGCTGACTCGATGAGTCAGGGTAGGGTTTGCCCGTTTATGGGTTTCTGGTTAAGTGCAGCGAAGGATTAGGGTTTTGGTCCGTTTAGATCTTAGTTTTCTAGACATATGATGAACTCGACGAGTCAATAGGGTAACTCAGCTAGTTAAGGCGAGACTCAATGGGATGGACTCGGGAGGAACTCAATTAGTTACAAAAGGTAACTAGACAAGTTAACGAGTCATACAGGAACTCGACGAGTTCATATGTACACTAGACGAGTTGAGGTTAACATGGACTGTTGACGTTAGTTGTTGACCCGAGTTGACCATAGTTGACTTTGAGGGTAATTATGGGATTATGACAAGTTAATGGTTATAGGCAGTTGAGGAGGTGTAGTGTGTGGGACATACCCGATTCTAGCTTGTTATTTCAACATTTGAGAGGTGAGTCTTCTCACCATACTAATGGGTCTAAGGCACCAAATTCGGTCCATCTTATGTTATGTGGATTGTTGATTGATTATGCGTTATAATAGTATAACATTTACATGGAAGACCACGTGGGGGTTCTCGTGGCATTTGGTATAAAACCTTGGAGGGTTTCCATGGCATCCTAGTATATCTGCTTGTATAGTTGCATTATGTCTTGTTTGGTAGTGAATACCTTGTGGGGGTTCCCAAGGCAGGAAGACCTTGTGGGGGTTCCTAAAGCATGAAGACCATGTGGGGGTTCCCATCGCAGATAAGACCACGTGGGGGTTCCTATTGCATTAGGTGTAAGACCCTGGAGGGTTTCCATGGCTTCCTTATATGTAGTATGCATGGCTTATGTGATGTGTGTAGCTATATAGCTAATATGATATGTGTTATGTGGTTTGTGTGTGAGGTATGCTCTGGGGAACTCACTAAGCATTAGCTTACAGTTTGTGGATTTGTTTCAGGTACTTCTGAGCCCAAGGGCAAGGGAAAGGCGTTATGACGCGGCGTGCACTCTCTCACCGATATTTTGTTGGACACTTTGACAGTTTTAAATAAAGATGTAATGAATGTGGATTTGAAAACAAATATGTTGGGATTTCATGATTTATGGAAATGTGTTTGATTAATTAAAAATGAAAAAAAAAATCTTTTGAAAATTTGGGTCGTTACATACCATCTATTGACTCTGTGTTTGATTCTGCAATGACCGATTCGGGTAATTTCTTAAAATATAAAGTGGTTATTGATTTTGTGAGTTGGCCTAGTGTGTTGGGTGTACCACAAGCAACCTTGGACACGGGGTTTTCCCCTAGTATGCTGGATGTACTCGAGTCAAGGGCATACCCTAAATTTTAGGGTTTAGACCCTATTTAAGCGGCTTATGCCCCAAGGTTTCTCTCGTTACCATCATCCATTGTCCCAAAGGCATTAACTCGAAATCCTAATCCCATTTTAGAGAAACTTGAGCCTTGTGTATGTTTTGGTGTGCATTTTGTTGCATCTTGAAGAAGAAGAGCTCATTGGAGGAGGATTAGTTTGCTTGGAGCTTGAAGATCCAAAACTGTTTTCACCTTTGCAAGCTTCAAGAGGTATAATGGTTCAAACTTTATGACTCCTTAGCTTAGATCTAGATGTGGGACTATGTTTGGTATGTTTTGGTCCCTTGGTTTGGTTCTTGTGAGTATAAGTTACTCTAGAAGTTGTATTGGTCAGTTTTTGGTATATCTAGAGTTGTAGAATCATAAAAATGGCATCTTGATTGGCTAAGCTCAACCATACATGGGTTGATGGTCTTAAAATAGAGTTAGAGTGTTAGAAATTTATGGTGATCCTCTTTGAACCATGCAAAGGCATCAAGTTGATAATTTTTTCATTTAAGACATTTCCCTAGTCCTAGATCTATAATTTGGACGTTTGGACTTAAAGAATTAAGTGATTAGTGAGGGTTTTGGCGATTTGGGCCGTGCGTGGGGTGTACAGAAGTGTACGCTCAACATAGCACATTTGAGCCCCGACTTCCCTTCACTAGTGGTATGTGGTGCGTACTCACTAGAACCCTATTTGGTTTATTTCTTGGGATTTAGGTTTTTTGGGCTTTAGCCATAGCTTGTTGGGCTTGGGATAGGAAAGGCAAAACGGTATTTTACCTTTTATGAGAGGATTATGATTGGAGTTTAGTTGTGGCTATTACCCTGATTATTTATTAGAGTTAGTTTGAATGTGTCTGGTTAAGGAGCCATCGTAGCAACAGCCTATAAGTGTGTGTTTGTGCATAATTTGATTGAGGTGAGTCTTTTGATAGTGTTTTAGCCGGTCAAAAGCACTAATGATGTAACACCCATAAAAATCATGAAAAATACAAACTTTTAAAACCAACCCAAAATCATAAATTGTTTATAACATAGTTTTCAAAGCATGTCCATATTAGAGTTTCCCAAAATCATAAGTCAAAACACGAGGATGTATACGAGCACGCATTCGCCTTCCTGCGATCGTCTGAAGTACCTAAAACATAACCCAAAATTGTAAGCCCAAATCTTAGTGAGTTCCCCTAAAGTACCAATACATAAACAAATAACACATATATAATAACAACATGCAATGGGTCCATAACTAAAAGATTGGATTACCCCTTAGCCCACAGCATAAGCCTGGCTTTCCCTCGGAGCCCACAACTTATGCCTGGCTTGCTCCCTGATCAGATCAGTCCTCAAACTAAATACCACCAATCCCTTAGTATGAGTCTGGCATGCCATACCCGACCCTTAGCTCGTATCTGGAATGTTCATGAGCCCTCAATATGAGTCTAGCTTGCCC